TGGAGATATTAAAATGAACATAGGATACTTTTTATTAAAAAAAACATACATTTTTGATTCAATGCGAGCGATACCGCGGGTAAAACCTGGTGCGATATACAAAGTATTAAAATAAAACGATGTAGCCAATACTTCTGACCGCGAGTGTAACTGGCTTATGGCTTTTTGCAGTCAGCTCATTCGGGTGAATGTCCTAAGATGCCTGGGACCTAATTCAACGAATACAGCTCGGTGGTAGACTTATAGGTTAACTATATTAATCTTAAATTGGAATCAAATTGACTGTGAAATATAATTTTATTGTGATAAATGGGAAAATGTTAGGACACTTGATACGGCACGATGAAGTTATAATCTATACATATAAATAAAATTGGAGTATCTGTTTGTAAAATAGAAATAACCGTTTTTTACTACATGCATGTGAATATAAATAGGGTAGGGTAGGGTAGGTGTGTTTGTCTGTCTGTCGGTCTGTTTGTTCCGGCTAATCTCTGAAATGGCTGGGGGCCGATTTTAACGGGACTTTTTTTGGCAGGTAACTACTGTAATACGGAGTAACTTAGGCTACTTTTATTTTAGAAAAAATCTTTTATTTTAGACAAATAAAGTTAAATTCCTCGCGTACGAAGTCGCGGGAACAGCTAGTAATAAATAAATAATCCTGGACAAAAAAGCTTTATGTTAGTTTAGTTTTATGACAATTGGTATAATACCGGGTGACAAATCAAACAAACAATTTTATATTAATAACTGACTGAACATGGCGACCGTATTTGTTATTCCTTCGATTAACATTTTCAACCTTTTTATTGCAGTGAACTCGACGGACAGATCACGGTAAGCTATCTCATCACAAGAATGATGAGACAGCTTTCCGAATTAAAATGAGTATAACTATGACTATTCAAAAGTACTTAAATTAAGTTTATTTGAATAAATGACTTTCTGTTCTGTTCTATTTTATCCTATCCTATTCTATTAGATTAGAAAAGAAGAAGGACTTTTATTGATACAACTATCATTAACAATATCAGAGTCACTCACATGATTTGCATGATATTAATAGAATAGTAAAAATCTACTTCCAATGGACACTGGGACTGGGACAATGGGAATTGATCCCCACACGCTGGAACCTAAGTGGTCTCGAACAGTGCGGTTTCAATCTTATTGTGTATTTAATATTTGCTCCTAATAAATTAGTCTTTGTTAGTAGTTTGTATTCACACATTTCGACTTAAAAATGTAAAGTTACAACAATTATTTGAAAGAGCAACACGCAAGTTTTTTGATGATTATTTTTTGATGAGACAACTTTCCGAATGAGCGATAGATTATAAAAATGATAACTGTTGTAGTTATCCTTCTTTTAATAAAACGCTATAAATTCAAAAGTAATTTTTTTATGTACGTGAGCACTCTTAAATTGTGGAATTAATTACCTGCCGAGGTTTTCTCGTGAGACAGCATGGGCTTTTTCAAGATCTTTTATATTAAGGTTTCTGGAGGTCGGCATAGAACGTGACACCTCTGATTTTTCAGGAGTCCATGGCTACGGTAACCGCTTACCATCAGATGGGCCGTATGCTTGTTTCCCACCACCATCATTTTCCATATTATAAAAAAAGCATGGGGTTTTTTCAAAAAGGGTATATTAAGGTTATATTAATGGTCGGCAACCGTCGGCAAAAGGTGGGTAATGGTCGGAAACGCGCACGTGATCAGATGGACCGTATGCTTGTTTCAGATGTTATAGTATAAAAAATAACATATATAACGAGATTTTACTTGTAAATAAACACATACAATCAAATTGCCATTACACACAACCATCATATTTTGAAGTCGGTTAAGAATTGAGATTAAACAGCGAACTCAATTATGATCCAGGCGGCGGCATCTTAAGTACTGCAGCATCAGAAAGGATGTCTCAAAAGCTAAATTGCCAAGTTCAACACGCGATGGACACGCAATTCCGATTTATCATGTACCGACGCTCTATTTAAAGTTAATTTCTTCCTGGATCAGGGCGCTGCGGTGTGACAAGTCATAGGCGGTAGCGTTTCTATTTCACATTGTTAGATTTTTAGTAGGTTATAATTACTCAGGTCTATAGCCTTATGATTAAAAAAAAAGATTTTTAATTTACCTAACTATTACTACTTTTTATAAAGAAGTTTTTTAAAGTTCTTTAAAGGATCTTAAAAAAACCTTTTAACCTAAAAATCAAGGCTACAGAAATTGCCAGAATTGAAAAGCACAAAGCCTAAGGTAAGTAATTACCGCCGCCCATGAGCACACGCTATATCAAAGAAATTGCAATATACCAACGTTATAAGAAAGAATTCTCTTTTCTTAAAGGATTCAATTCAATAGCGATTTGGAAAAGGACAAAGTAGTTGGTATGTCAAAAAGTTTCTGCGATAACACATGGTGGAGGGCACTCGTCTATGTGATCAGGATGGTAAATTAATTACTGGCGGATTATATAATGATGGGATTTAGATATTCAGCTGATTGCTATGAACTTTAAAAAGACATACCTTCAAAAGAATAAACTTATTATTACTGTTTGGTGTTTTATTTTAAACAATAAATTATTATTATATTAATTCCGCTATCCGCTCGTAAGAAACACTGGACCCGCGCTACATGGAATTGATTGAGATGAGGACTAATCTAATGTTAATTGAACTGTTTAACGGGTCTCCCTCTAATAGGACTGACGCGGATAGCGGTGGTTGAACGCTTACATTGTACACTAAAGTATAGATGTTCTATCTTGGACACAATATTATTTGTTGATCTCGGATTTCTTAGGACATTTCGTTTTATTAAAATTATGAATAATATATTAATATTTTGGGTAGGGAAAAATTGTAATATAAAAAATTTGACATTCATAAGCAGCTAAATCGGTCTTTTTTTTATATACATTGTTTTGCTGTATATATCATAATTACATAGTATAAAACAAAGTCGCTGTCGCTGTCTGTCCCTATGTATGCTTAAATCTTTAAAACTACGCAACGGATTTTGAAGCGGTTTTTTTATAGATAGAGTGATTCAAGAGGAAGGTTTATATATTTAATACCAGTGCGAAGCCGGGGCGAGTAGCTAGTTTTAAATATACGGCTAAACAACGTTTTCCGGGACATCTAGAAGATTTATATATTACACATCAGTCCATAAACCCGCATCAAATAATTATTGTACACGAGTAATTAAATTATAAGTAATTAATATCCAGCGATTTTTTATTTTTTTTTAAATAAATAAACGTTGTTTTGCTATATAATTAATTAGTAAAATATAGAATTTATACGGCAAACCAACGTATGCCGGGACAGCTTTGTAAGTATGGATATTTGTTACTTTTTACGAAAAAACAATTGAACGGATTTTGATGAAACTTTACAGTAATATAGCTTATGCATCAGAATAACAGGCTATATTTTATATTGAAATTTAACGCGGTTGAAACGTGGGCACACTTAATATATATACATATATTAAGTGTGCCCACGGTTTCAACCAAACATTTTCACGGTTTCAAACAAACCAACCAAATATTATCGGTCCATAACACGCATCAAATAATTAAATTCTGCTTTCATACGAGTTGAAACCTTCGCGCCGAGGTTGTGTTTAGGCAGTGTAATTATGTAATTTGTAATCACTATAATAGTACAACATCATTACCGTATATCCATTTAGTTTTGATCACTACAAAAAATTTATATTACTAATTTTATAAACGCGAAAGTTTGTGAGTATGGATTGATGGGTGTTAATCTTTCAAGTGAAAACGACTGAGCCGAATTTGATGATAATTTACAGTAATATAATAAGTTATAATTGAATTTATTCAGATTATTGAAGGTAAGATTACATATTTTATAATTTAAGCGCCCCCGTAACAATTTGAGTCCAAAAACTCTGTATTGTTCTGTCAATTTTATTGCACAGCATTTTTGTTTGCTAACAGCATTCTAAAAATGCTGTGCAATAAAATTTGACATTGTATATATATATAGCTTATATATTAGAATGACATATAAATTGGGCGAAATATAACAACAAATGTGATGCAGACGAAGTTCGTTTATTATATATATATACATTTATGACGGACTGGGAAATTTGCCTCAGTTACTCCTTACAACATTAGCTATTTGCGAGGAAAAGTCCCGTCAAAAATAAAAAAAAAAGTTGTTTTAATATAAGTACCATATATAATTTCATTTACAAACAGACACTTAAATTTTGATTCTTTGTATAGATATAGATAAAAAGGTAAAGATAAATTTCTTTACAACCAGCCAGGCGTACATAAATAACCGTATTCAATATATCATGGCCAACTGGCTGGAATTGTGTATTTTCATGCACATTATGTTTATGTAATGAAATTTAAGAGTTAATTTTTGAGTTAATTAACAACATTTTATTTATAATAAACCACGGTATTGGTTAATAATAGTGTAAAAGGTCACCTACTTTGATCTCATTATTAAATTATGGTCATTTAATAAATTAACAAGCAATCCGCTTCGGTTTTGCATGGATACAATCCACTGATGCCCGTAATATTTTCAGGCGTCCATAGGTTGCGGGTTCGATTCCCGGCACGGTACAAACATTTATATTCATGAGTATGATGTTTGTATCGGTCTGGGTGTTTTCTATATTATGTATGTATTTACAAAAACATCTAAGTATTTATATCACTTGTCTAGTACCTATAACACAAACTCTGCTTAGCTTGGGACTAGATGGCGCTGGGTGATTTGTCCAGGGTTGTTATTATTGTTTAATATTTATAGCCTACGGTATAAAAGGGCCGTTGGTCTGTTTGCCACTATCGTAGTATATAAAAAAAACTGGCATTATGGAAAACCAAGATGTCGCTATATCCTGGAATTTCACTGTTTTCTAATTTCACCCACAACTTGATTAATAAAGACCAGTAATTATAAATAAAATAATAAATTTACCTTATAAACAGACGTAGATAAGATGGTTTCGACTCCAAGACTAATCTGCAACAAACAGTACATATATAAGATACAGAAATATTCAATTATTTAATTTATTTCAATAATAAAAAAAAGTTATATCAATGAAACGTCACAGAGTTCATATCCGAGCGAAGCCTGCACTGCGACTAGTATAAAATAAAATTGAATATGTAAAATTCTCGTGTCGCGATTTTTGTACCCAAATTCCTCCGAAACGGTTTTAACGATTTTTATGAAACTTTGTGTTACATCGAGCAGGTCTGAAAATCGGCCAACATATATTTTTCATTGCCCTCAATGGTAAGGGTGACCCCTAAATATTTTTTTGACTATTTTTTTTATTCTGTATTAGCATTAATAACAGAAAATACATACACCCTAAATTTTCACCCTTCTATCATCAGCCCCTATTTTTTAATACTTATAATATTATAAATGCGAAAGTTTGCAAGTATGGATGTGTTACTCTTTCACGCAAAAACTACTCAACGGATTTTAATGAAACTTACAGTAATATAGCTTATGCATTAGAATAACACATAGGCTATATTTTATTTGAAATTTAATGCGAGTGAAACCGCGGGCACAGCTAGTAATTTCTAAAGCAAAACAACGTTTGCCGGGACAGCTAGTAAACCAATAATAATAATAGAATAGGTAATATGCATTATAAGTGTATGATGTACAAGTGATAAAGCAGGTCAATGCAAGCATCGTGTGTGGATTGATTCGACCACTCATTTGTTTCAAGGTGCTCAATTAATCAACCGATAATCAAGTACAATTATATTGACTTCACTTAGTGAATATTAACTGTAAAACCAAGTAAATTTGATAGTCATTGTAGGGTATGTGAAATATTAGGAGTAGAGAGTTCATTGAACTGTCGTGTCAGCGACCGTGAGCGTGAGGGAGGGGATATTCCGCATGTGGACGCCTCTGAGTTAAGACGTAGCTTTGGCTAACGAGTCGATATTATGGAGATACTAATGTACTTTTATAACAATGTATAATTTCTTTTTATTATAATTTATATCTTTTAATAATTTATAGGATGCTGTTCACAGCATCCTATAAATTCATCATCATTTCATCATCATTGCTGTGTTGTGATGTGTGTACTACACATTTTATTCTATTCTATTTATATATACACTAGCCACCCGCCTCGGCTTCGCATGGGTGTATATGTATTATACATATAAATCTAATCACTCTATATATTGCTAAAACTGCATAAAAATGCGTTGCATAGTTTAAAAGATAGGAAGCAATTCTTCATTTTATACTTTGTAAATATTAGAGAGAGAAACTTCTCAGTATTCCATCGTGTGTCAGTGAGGCAAACTTCGAACGGTTTCCGGTACCTGTGACCCGGGTGTAGGTTTAAAGGGCTCTATATTATTTATACGTTTAATTAGTAAAAATCACGGGATCTTACCACGTTTTATATTTATTTGCTGAGTTCCCGATATTTCGGTAGTGTTACAACCACCATAATCACGGGTAAACTGAAGAGCAGTGGGTAGATGGAAAATGAAATCTTTTTATGGGCAGATATATGCGTCTACCTTCACACGTCTTCGTGTGTTGCTACTACTGGAACTCCCTCGATATTCATCTCGGCAAACTGTACTCACAGTATCTTCACGTACATTTAATACACTTTTCGATCGCGTTTTTTGTTTTTGTTTAATTAAACCAATCACTGGATTCCAGGCATTAGAGAGCGTATAACCGTCTTCTCGATTGAAATTTTTATATTTCTGTATTTCAATGGCCTCTGTAACCATTCTTGGGATATAATGCCGTTCTGATGTTAATACTTTTGGTTGGTGTAGTTCAATCCAGTGATTGGGTCCCGTGATTTTACTAATTAAACATACAAATAATGACCGCGTCAAGTTTAAAACAGTCTATATTATTTATTACTAAATATCTGCACGCAGTCGAAAATTTTTAAGCAACGTTTTAATCCGAGGTCTAATCTCACTGAAAATAAATAACTGCATCACAATATAAAACGTAATATTTATTATTTGAAGTGACACCGCTATTACAAAACTAGACGAGGCCGATTCAGCCTAGCAGGACAGTTTTACAGCGACATAAATCGACAATTTAATAACATCTGTAGCTTTTATAAAATGTCCGGCCGCTCGTAAAATGGATATTCCATTAAATATAACAAATAGTATATTGTGGTTTTAAGGGCTACGAGTAAATATTATAAAAAGACTAGTATGTATGAATTGTGTGAGTGGCATCAGCATCTTGAGGGTTCCGTTACGGTTTTTTGTCTTCCCGTGTAACCCCTAACTATTAGGGGTTTTTTTGGGGTTCCTTCAAGTTAAGTAAGAATACATATCGTTAGCTTAATAAAAAAAAATATTAACTAAAAAAAACTAATTGGAATATATTTTTTATAAAAAAATATAATGTAATACCAAATATTTTTAGGAACACTGTCAATCAAAACAGTAAATTTTTAGTATTTACTCGTATTATGAGTGATAATTATAGACCTCACATGTAACTAGAGGTTTTCCAGTAGTAGAAAGAAAGGTGTCGTCTGCGTGTGATGGTTTTGGAGCTGTATTTTGGTTATACGATACGATCAGTTTAGGCAGTGACATTACAGGATAAGAGGTATGTCATATTAGTCTTTTGCAATGGTATCATATTAGTGGAATCACGGGTGTCACATGGTAACTTTATGTCTGTGATGCTGTTTATGTATATAGGTGGTTACCACTTGCCACCAGGTAGACTGTCAGATTGTGTGGTATTTCTAAAAAAGACTTAAAATAAAGTGATTGTTGTTATAATTATCAGGCAATTGTTAGTTTTTACTCACAGAAGTATTTAAATCTTTTCGCAATACGCATAACCACTATAATGTAGGCTAAATAAACAATAAGCAAGGACTTCGACCTTGTTTGAGGTTCAATATCATAAGCGGAGCGGAATATCGTTTTTAATAATAGAAGAATATATACAACGGGCATGGACTTATGAGAAGTATCGTGTACTTGTAAATAAAATAAACATTGCATGGCAAAAAGCATTCTTATTTCAGAGGAATTTCTATGTCCATTCAAGTGTTCGCGATTCCCTGCTCATTTAAACTACAAATGTTGTTATAATCCCATATTTGTAACACATTCATAGAACAAATTAGATGAATTTCTTTCATTCATATAGATCTATTACAAACATTTATAATCAATGAAATTTACCGGCAGTTCGGAATGAAATCTCAGCCAAAAACAACTGACATACTCTGCTCCTCCTCGATTCAAACGAGATTGCAAACAATATAATACCATTATATTAAAGCTGAAGTTTATGGAATATAGTGACCATCAGCATGCTATAAAATAAATTGTTAGTAGGGGATTGTTAGGAGTAAGACTGTTGCTAGCGAAAAATAATCATTTTTATTTTGAATCTATGGTAACACAAGTTCTACCATTAATTTATTGTCTCTGGTTCTGTCTACGATTCGCATATCATACGTTGCTCAGTGTAATTTATAAATTATTTCAATATAGTAAATTTGGTCCAGAAATGTTGTTGGTATCAGTTTAACAGCAACTTACAATCCACGCTCTCAATAGGGACAAGCGATCCTATGTTCCTTTTTACGTCGAGCTCCATTTGGTGCCCTCTAGAAACTATTGTGGTTATTTCCTGCGAATTGGTAACGACCAGAGCTCTTATCATCTTCCATAGGTGCCCGCTAGCGTATATCGTTAACACAGACACGCGTTAAACATTTTTATGCATTTGACATCAAAACGCTCGTGACTTGTACCACACTCTCAGCCATTAATGATAGTGACCGATACAAGAGCAAAGGTCTCGAATGGTCATACGATTGTGGTATGATGTATGGACAGTCCCTTTGATTACATGCTCGTCTTGTAAGTACCGTTGGGATAGCTGTCCATGCCCTCTACATGTTCGCTTAAGGCGTAGTTCTCATCATGCTATCTGCAATGCATTCTGTCAGTGTGACCATGATAATAATATTAACCTAGGACAATTCACACAGCGCCATCTAGACCCAAGTGAAGCAGAGTTCGGGTTATGGGTATTCACCGCTTTACCTCCGATGGTCGCGGGTTCGATTCCTCGCACGGCACAAGCATTTGTATTCATGAGTATGATTGTTTGTATCGGTCTGGGTGTTTTCTATATATAATAGTATGCATTTACGAAAAAATAAATTATCTATGTACTTGTATCAGTTATCTAGTATCCGTAACACAAGCTTTAGCTAGCTTAACTTGGGTCTAGATGTGTGAATTGTCCTGAGATTATTATTATTATTATGGGTAGTAGAAAACTAATAGAAATGCTTAATGTATATTTTTTGTAAATATATACTAAAGATGTACATGATATTTCATATTTCATTGTCAGTTAATTAGATATGTATTTACGTATGGATTATTTATTTATTTTTAAGGATTACCAACATAAGATACAGTAATAAAAATCTGTCGTGATTCTATACAATTCTAATGGTCTTATACTAACTGTTCTCATAATTATAGGTAACCACAGCATGAGTTACAAGATTATATCGCTACAATAGAAATAGAAATAATCTTTATTCAAATAAACTCATTACAAGCACTTTTGAATAGTCATATTTTGATTCTACCACTCATTCGGAATGCAGATTCATCACCAGAAGAATGAGCAAGAAACTTGTGTTTTGCTCTTTTTAATAGATGTTTTTTTTTTATATAAATAATTACAGTATAACAAGTAAGAGGCATGCGATAATCAACATAGAAGTCGCTACGCACTCATTATTAATGTAATCAGATAATATTGTCAGTGCAAGTTTTTCTATAAAAACATTATTATCGTTAACGAATTCTTCAATTTTATAGTAAGCTTTTTTGCAAAGGAACTGTTTTATTTGACATTTAAATCTTTTTTCTGGCAGATTTATAACAGACTCTGGTATTTTATTGTAAAACCTTACGCAATTGCCATAAAACGAA